GTCAAATCCAATTCTATTGTGATCGCTATTATTTTTACTTTTATCTCTTGTGCCTGTAAAGTGTAAAGAGAAATTAATTAAACACGACTCATGCCTAAGAGCCTTTAAGCGTCCAAACAAATTCACGGGGTTGCAATATTTCATTCAGATTGTTAATAATTAAATTTAATTCAAAACTAGCCATTCATTTATTATAATCTAATAATGCGATGCATTCATATATAGTTTATATTTCATAATATTTTTTTTGGTCGCCGGTGTTGCTTGGTCATGGTGTCTCTTACACATGGAACCCGTAAATAATAAAATCGTGTTTGCCTTTTGCAGCCTTTTTGCAGCTCTGAGTATTATCATGTAGCTTCGCCTCTCTTTGATGTAAATGGAAATGTTAGATATTATGTTGTAAGAGGATTAGTTCTAAATATAATTGATATAATCAATATATATAGATAACCCCCCTACCCCTAGTTCATCATGGATTTTGGTTAAAGGTTTTAATAAATAGATCTTTGTAGCTATCTATTGTCAAATTAAAATCTACATTTATGTCTAATCTCTGTAAAGCTATATCTGATGATAGCTATCTATATACGCACCTCTGCCCCTTTAGTAAAGTAGAAATTCAACCTATATGAAGCATAAAGTCTCACCGCGTCAACCGGGACCGGAAAGGTTGACCCGGCTCGGAAAATTCAAATGTACTACGGCTTCCCGTGTATTATATTTAAAGGAAATGAGTCTTAACTCCTATGTTCCAATCCCTGTATCTAAGCCACCTGATGTTGTAAACCTTAAATGTTTCAAACTTAGATTATTTGATCTGACAGAATGTACAGTTTGAAATATCTATAAGGTCTCCCACATTGGGTTGCAGAGATATAGGGATGAGAAAATCAGGGTTTGTGGCAAAGACTCAATTTCTTCACATCTATATCTTTATTTTTTATCTATTAACATTGATTAAGTCATTTTCAACTAAATTTTCCCCGCATTAGCAATCCTAATATTATTTTTAGAGATTTAAGAGAAAAGCGACAAAAAGAGCTTTTACATCAGCTAGAAATCCTCCTTCATCAAGCTAATCTCAGGTAGGGCCGCGCAAAAAATGAGCAAAAGTTCGCCAAAATAATGTTGTGCAAAAAATATGGTCATTTAGTGGAAACTCGAGTTTTAGGTCCAGAGTTTTAACAATTAACAATTCACTTTTTGCATAAAGGGACTGTCACGCACCGCTGCTCCTTTATTAAAAGTAAATTGAACTTATAAGAAGCAAAAAGTCTGACCGCGTCAACCTTGTTGCATCGGCTAGTCCTGTCCATAGAGCTAGGTACAGTACAAACTGCTGCCGGAAAGGTTGACCCGACTCGGAAATTCAAATGTACTACGGCTGCCCGTGCTGTAAGCATAAATTCAAGTGACCCTGCATGCAAAAATGGCAATGCCCGATTCACAACGGTATCCTCGACCAAGTATGGATTATAGATATCAATGTTTATAATTTTAAAACTGATTATTTTCACCTATGGTTATTTATTCAAGTGTGACATGTCACATGCGCATTTCTACTGCAGGAAAACACATAGGAATTATTAGAATAAAACACTTTAAAACCTAGACAACCGGAAATCTCTTCCATATTATTGATTAGATAAAAGGTTCAAGGGTACCGTTGTGAATCTGGCATTAAAAATATATATTACATTTAACTATGAAAAATTGTAAAACGTTAAAAAACCTTAACTTTTTTTTATCGAACTCACCTTCAAAGCATTCTAAATTATACAAATATTTTGCAAGACATTAATAACGGAATGTTAAGTGCATGAAAATGAATTTCAACATTCTGTTAAATGTTCATAATTTTAAAGTAAATGTTCATAATTTCAAAGTAAATGTTCATCATTTCAAAGTAAATGTTCAAAATTTCAAAGTAAATGTGCATCCTTTCAAAGTAAATGCTTATCATTTCAAAGTAAATGTCCATAATTTCAAAGTAAATATTCATTATTTCGAATTGCTGACAGTGATTAGGACATTACAAAAAATAGTATGTATAAAATTAAAGATATTCTTCTTTATTTCTGTTTTGATGTTTTGATTTAAAAACTACAAAAATTACAAAAAAAAATTTGTTTAGGACTAGGGAAGAGATTTTTGAGTTCATAGAATACGAACTGAATAGAGCCATCAGGACTAGAACTCATAACAGGTTTAGATACAGCTAGTAGAGTTTATAACAGGTTTAAATACAGCTAGAAGAGTTTATAACAGTTTCAGATACAGCTAGTAGAGTTTATAACAGGTTTATATACAGTTTGTAGAGTTTATAACAGTCTTAAATACAGCTAGTAGAGTTTATAATAGTTTTAGATACTTTTAGTAGAGTTTATATCAGGTTTAGAAACAGCTTGCAGAGGTTATAACAGTTTTATAGCTGGTTAAACAACTAGTAGAGTTTAAAGTAGGTTTATATACAGCTAGTAGAGTTTATAACAGGTTTATATACAGCTAGTAGAGTTTATAACAGGCTTAAATAAAGCTAGTAGAGTTTAAAACAGGTTTAGATACAGCTAGTAGAGTTTAAAACAGGTTAAGATACAGGTAGTAGAGTTTATAACAGGTTTATATACAGCTAGTACAGTTTATAACAGGTTTATATACAGCTAGTATCAAGGGCAGACCAAGTATGGATTATAGATATCAATGTTTATAATTTTAAAACTGATTATTTTCACCTATGGTTATTTGTGTGTGTGTGTGTGACATGTCACATGCGCATTTCTACTGCAGGAAAACACATAGGAATTATTAGAATAAAACACTTTAAAACCTAGACAACCGGAAATCTCTTCCATATTATTGATTAGATAAAAGGTTCAAGGGTACCGTTGTGAATCTGGCATTAAAAATATATATTACATTTAACTATGAAAAATTGTAAAACGTTAAAAAACCTTAACTTTTTTTTATCGAACTCACCTTCAAAGCATTCTAAATTATACAAATATTTTGCAAGACATTAATAACGGAATGTTAAGTGCATGAAAATGAATTTCAACATTCTGTTAAATGTTCATAATTTCAAAGTAAATGTTCATAATTTCAAAGTAAATATTCATTATTTCGAAATGCTGACAGTGATTAAAATATTACAAAAAATATTATGTATTCAATTAAATATATTCTTCTTTATTACTGTTTTGATTTCAAAATTACAAAAAAAAATTTGTTTAGGACTAGGGAAGAGATTTTTGAGTTCATAGAATACGAACTGAATAGAGCCATCAGGACTAGAACTCATAACAGGTTTAGATACAGCTAGTAGAGTTTATAAAAGGTTTAGATACAGCTAGAAGAGTTTATAAAAGGTTTAGATACAGCTAGTAGAGTTTATAACAGGTTTAGAAACAGCTTGCAGAGTTTATAATAGGTTTATATACAGCAAGTAGAGGTTATAAAAGGTACATTTACAGCTTGTAGAGTTTATAACAGTTTCAGGTACAGCTAGTAGAGTTTATAACAGGTTTAGAAACAACTAATATAGTATATAACAGGTTTAGATACAGCTAGTAGAGTTTATAACAGGTTTAGATACAACTAGTAGAGTTTATAACAGGTTTAGATACAGCTAGTAGAGTTTATAACAGGTTTAGAAACAACTAGTAGAGTTTATAACAGGTTTAGATACAACTAGTAGAGTTTATAACAGGTTTAGATACAGCTAGTAGAGTTTATAACAGGTTTAGAAACAGCTAGTAGAGTTTATAACAGGTTTATATACAGCTTGAAAAGTTTATACCATTATACCGTATTATTTATTTACGCTGTACACTGTACACTATACTTGTGCAGTATGTTCATATTGTACATTTTACCTTGAACAGTGTAATACTTGATGTACACTGTACTTGTGCAGTATGTTCATATTGTATATTTTACCTTGTACAGTATAATCTTTGATGTACACTGTACTGGTGCAGTATGTTCATATTGTACATTTTACCTTGTACAGTGTAATACTTGATGTACACTGTACTTGTGCAGTATGTTCATATTTTACATTTTACCTTGTGCAGTATGTTCATATAGTACATTTTACCTTGTGCAGTATAATCTTTGATAAATATAAAAAGGTTAAAGCATGTAAAACAATAACTGACCATCGCCTCAGAGTTTTATTAGAGGGAACATAGACATGATTTCAAGTGAACCTTCAATCAAAGAGTTGTGTATCTGATTCACAACAGAACTCTTACGTACAAGCTTTGTCGAAGCAAGAAGGAATAATTGTCANTTCTAGTATCCTCTTTTATTAGTATTCTGGTATCCTGATGTCATGGTATTCTAGTATCCTCTTTTATTAGTATTCTGGTATCCTGATGTCATGGTATTCTAGTATCCTCTTTTATTAGTATTCTTGTATCCTGATGTCATGGTATTCTAGTATCCTCTTTTATTAGTATTCTGGTATCCTGATGTCATGGTATTCTAGTATCCTGGTTTATTGGTGTTCTGGTATCCTGATTTATTGGTGTTCTGGTATCCTGATGTCATGGTATTCTAGTATCCTCTTTTATTAGTATTGTTGTATCCTAATGTCATGGTATTCTAGTATCCTCTTTTATTAGTATTGTTGTATCCTGATGTCATGGTATTCTAGTATCCTCTTTTATTAGTATTGTTGTATCCTAATGTCATGGAATTCTAGTATCCTCTTTTATTAGTATTCTGGTATCCTGATTTCATGGTATTCTAGTATCCTGGTTTATTGGTGTTCTGGTATCCTGATGTCATGGTATTCTAGTATCCTGGTTTATTGGTGTTCTGATATCCTGATTTATTGGTGTTCTGGTATCCTGGTTTTGCAAGGAAAGTTTTCTCCTGAAGATGAATAGGTTTAAGTCTTTTATTGACAACGCTGATAAAAGGAAGCAGGGCAGATTGCAAGGGGTGGGTTTATTAAATCAAATAATCTAGGTTAAAATATCAAATTCGTACACCATTAGGCTAAGATATATGGGATTATAAAATTTGGGGGGTGACAAAAACTAAATTCCTTTTGATTTTTAAGAAATTTCAGAATTCCTTTTGATTTAAGAAGAAATCTATTTAAAAAAAACATCGGTTTCTTTGGTTAAAGAGTTTTGTTGTGAATCTATTATGATTGCATATGTATAATTAAAGAATCACTTTAAACCATGCAAACAATTTAATAAAAATATTAGTTTAGTGCTTCCAAAATAGAATATTAAAAAGTAATATTTCAGGCTAGCTTACAGCGGGTCTACTGATACAAACCTCCACATTGGACATAGCAAAGTGTCGGTAAATATCAGAACATTACAACAGTAGGAAAAAAAGCATCCTCACACCCAAGGTTCTTTAATAAGCTTGGTGACTGCGCATTTATGCTGGAGTGACAGAAGAATATAAAGTGAAGTTAACACTTTTTAGATAGAAAAACAATAATTTCTTAATTTTTATTTACAATAGAACTTAAATAGTGTGGAACAGTAACTTATTTAAACACTTAATAAGTGAAACTGGTCTGTTTACACTACACAATTGTTGTGTATTATGCTCATTGTACTATTTAAATTCATTACTTGAGTGTAATTAAGTCGTCTTCATATTCCAGAGTTTTCTGGCTTTCATTTAGACAGATGTTTATAGAGTATCATTGTGAATTGGACATAGTCCCCTCCCCCTAACCTTCGGATTGTCACTTTAAGTTCCAAACACAAGATTAAACTTCTATCTAAAAGGCCCCTATATCCTATTCAAGTTGTTTTAAATTGGAATTGAATTTAAGTATTAGAGAGATCTCTAGTCTGATCCCTAGAGAGATCTCTAGTCTGATCCCTAGAGAGATCTCTAGTTTGATCCCTAGAGAGAGATCTAGTCTGATCCCTGGAGAGAGATCTAGTCTGATCCCTGGAGAGATCTCTAGTCTGATCCCTAGAGAGAGATCTAGTCTGATCCCTGGAGAGATCTCTAGTCTGATCCCTAAAGAGATCTCTAGTCTGATCCCTGGAGAGATCTCTTTGCAAATTACTGTAAACTCATTAGTAAGACAGTTTGTAGTAGATAGATAGATACATTTAACTTTACTTCACAACGTCTCCAGAGGGTTTAAACTTCTTCACAAATACAAATATTCTAAAACTAGGTTTACGTCATACATGGTGCTTTGCGCCAATGTTTCTGGTGACAATCTTAGTTCATATTTGCCAATATACAGGGTGTCCCACGAAACATGAGAGTTGGTGAATAGTTTAGTTCTTCAATAATTAGTTAAGTCGTTTGGTCCTAAAGAGAATGATAAAAAATATATATGATAACCATATTATAGTAAAATTGATTTCAAAATAAAAAAGTTTGAGGAAAAGATGTTTTTTTTACGAAATAAACTTCAAAAAATCTTTGATATCCAATACAATATATGGATGTATTCGCCATGTCATGTTTCGTGGGACACCCTGTATCTGCCCACTTGTTTTATTTCAAATAATGATAAAAAAATTTCCTGTTGAAATTAAAAAAGTCTAAATTATTTTGGGGATTATATATTTGACTGGACACCTTCCTTGGTTTGATTGGTTCTCAGCGGTTTGTTGGTCTCATTGGTTCTCAGCTGTTTGTTGGTCTGATTGGCTCTCAGCTGTTTGTTGGTCTGATTGGCTCTCAGCTGTTTGTTGGTCTGATTGGTTCTCAGCTGTTTGTTGGTCTGATTGGTTCTCAGCTGTTTGTTGGTCTGATTTGTTCTCTTTGACGTTCATTGGGTACAACCAATTACAGACAAGCCACATATATAAATAGATTAAAAGCGGGGGCGGAGACGTCATGTGTGCATGTCTGTACCAAAAGAGTGTGTGTAAGGAATACCGAACTGAAGGTGTGTACTGTAGGTATATACTGCGTAAAAGAATCTCGGTATTAGCGTTTAGTGGAGAGTGTTCTAAGGTAAAAGATGAGTTTGTCGTAGGAAAGACTGGTTCAGATGGGTACTGACTACACTCCAACTCTTCCTGTTAGAAACTCACAGTCGGGGCTCATTGAATTCCCAGAACAGTTGGGACATCAACAGTATTCAGAACAGTTGGTGCATCAACAGTATTCAGAACAGTTGGGGCATCAACAGTATTCAGAACAGTTGGGGCACCAGCAGTATTCAGAACAGCCAGGACATCCCCTTAACTCAGATGAACAAGGGCATCTAAAACTTCCATTGTCGGGAAAGGGAAGTCTTGTTGATCAGTCCGGAGGATTTTCTTCACATTTGGGGCAGCGAGATATTTCACAGAGTCATTCCGGACTTTCCGTTCAACATTTAACCAGGTAGTTTTTATCTGCATAACAATGATATTGAGTCTTTGCCATACACTCAAATGTTCTAATCCCTTTATCTTAGGGAACTGATGGTGTAATTCTTTGATGTTTCAAACTAAGGTTATTTGCTCTCACAGAATTCATAGTTTGAAATATCTAAGGTCCACAACATCGGGCTGCAAAGATATAGAGATTATAAATTAAGATTTTGTTGCTCAGACTCATTTCCTTTGACAGTACATTTAAAGTAAGTTTACGCTTTTAAGAATCAATTTACGTTGATAAGTCTTTAACTATCAAATGATCTGACAAAAAAGTTTTCTTCAGATTTAAAGAAATGTTTTATTATTTTTAGGACACGTTCTAGTTTACCTGGCCCTAGTTCCTCCAGTTTCCACCATTCTTCTCCAGGTCTTGGTCATTCTACCCCTCGATACTATCATCATACCTACTCATCCAACAACCTGGATACTCATCCAAACCATAATAATCCCACAAATTTTCATCCAAAAGCTCATTCTAAATCAATTCCAACTCACCAATTTGATGAAACGGACTTTAATTCTCAAACTTCTCTCAGTACTCCTAAAAAGGTAGTATAATATATTATGGAAGTTTGGCAGTTCATGTTTTACATATATAAACACATAAATGTATCTAACCCCCCACGCCACCCCCCCC